CAGCGGGGAAAACGGAAAGCCAGGAACTATGGGCTTGGTCTTTCTGGTACACGAGGGGTTTTTAGCGGACACGTGCGAGATAGCGCGATCCTAATAGCACGAATAAAGGGGGAAGGTCCTTTGAACCTGAGCGTCCTAGCAGCAGCAATAAATCAAACGTTTTCTTATTCCTATCCCGGGGCGGTGTGCCATACACAAGAGGCCTTTTTGTATGTAAAACCGGGTCGTCCCGTCCCCTTGCGGTTGAGTTCCTACGCTCCCACTTTTCCCGTATTTCCCGAGATTCCTAATCGTAATATGGAATTATGGTTACAATTAAGTGAACTTGTGCGTAAAATCACTAATAACAAAGCATGATTTTACGGTTTGGAAAGGAAAAGCGATTTCCCGTAGATTTTTGTACGCTCGATCCAAATCCACAAGCAAAGATGTCACGTCAAGTTTTTCAAGAGAAAAATGGAATAAAAATTCAAAAAAGCGTTTTTGATTATTTTTGAAAAACTGATGAACCTGATGTATGAGAAATTTGCAAAAGCGTTTCAATTGATGCTTGAACATTGTATGTACTTTAATGTGAAACTATCGAATTTTTTACTACTGGCATCATCGAACTTCTGGCGCGCTTAATTTGTAGGAGTAATTGCACTTCATGCAATCCCAGTGCGAAACATTGCAAGTAATAAAAATTTCAATAGTGGATATATTCTATATATCTTTTTCTCTCGCACAATAGAATTATAAAGTTAGCCTTTTGGAAAATCATTGTTTTTTTAATTCTTTTTGTTTGCTTAATGAAAAAAATATTTTTATTATCAAAAGTATCTTCAATCCCATGTATTAAATCCACTATTGAAATTTTTAGTATTTGCAATGATTTCAATTGCAATTGGGTAATCGTTCGGTACTTGATATTATTTGACTATATTTACTCCGAAAAACAAAACGCGTCAGAAAATTCGACAATGCCAGCAATAATTGACTCAATATTTTCATATTATAGTACAATGTTCAAGCATTAATTTGAGCTTTTTCAAAATCTCTCGCATATCGGATTTTCGCTATGAATTTTCAAAACTAGTAAAAAACGTGTGGTTGAGTAGTTTCAATTCCACTTTTTCAAATCTGACGTGATAGAACATTTTTACTTGCGGATTCGGATTCAGCGCACAAAAAGCTATGACAAACTACTCTTCCTTTTCAGATCACAGAAAAAAAAGTGAAATTTTGTAACCCTATGCGGGTTAATGAAAAAGGTAACGCTCGAACAGTTGTATAACATCAATGGTATTGTTTAAAAATGAATAGAGGAAATGGGATTTGCATTGAAATTGTCGCTAGATCAATGAAAGACTGTAACTTATCACGCTGTGTTAAATTTAAATGGAAATGATATTTGGAGATATTGTGTAATCGTATACTCATTTGCATTACGGTTACCATATCGACGAGAAAAATTAGAGGTTTTGCTGCTCTGTAGCAGAAACGATTTATAAACACGAGATAATTATATGCGGGCGAGAAAGCGTAATTATTTACGATTGTATCATGTACACAACTCACTCATATAGGGTTGTCCATTTCGCGCAATAAATCGCATCGCATTGCGCTGCAACAGGAAGCGATACGGTTATTCTCTCATATACGACAGAGCGATATTAATAATATAATAATAACGATCGTTATATCCATTACGAGTGGACTTGTAACGCGTAAAATATCACACTTGGTGATTTAGTCTCAAATAATCGCTGGATTTCAGAAAATGATACGAGCGATAAGTGCAAATCCATGCTTATTTAATTCAATAATAAGCAAATTTAATATTGATAAAAATATTTGGATTTGTTATAAATACGTCTGCATATCTAAACATATGCATCATTATTAATTATTATCAAATATTTATTATGATTAAATTTTCTATAACTATTATTATTGTATCGATATTATTATATTATTATTAATATTTCGTGGCTTAGTGTTGTATAGAAATGATCCTCGTTGTTCGTTTGGCATAATTTATATTAAAAACGCTTTTTACTCTTTTTCACGTCAATGACTTGCAAGGAATATAAATAAACGACGTTATAAAGAACGCTATGGAGATCGGCTACTTGAAGTTTTGGTCCCATGAGTTTACGCTGATGCGCAAAGAAGTAAGGCTGACGCTGAAAGGCGGCGATTAAAACTGTCTACCGGCATTGAAATTTATTCTAACCGGTTGTGCTAATCCCAAGGCATTGAGGAATAATTTAGAGAAAATAGAACAGTTTACGAGCGACAATACGACGCAGTCTCTCTCTTAGCAGACACGGATGTTGCTTTGACAAGTAATTTACGAGGGAAAGAATATCAGATGGAGCAAATTCATCCGAGAAAACATCTGCGCGAAGAGATAATTTTACATATAATCATGCTGCAATATCTAAACGTATTTAAAGAAGAACGCAACGACAACATTCGAACGAGCAAACTTAAAATACGGAAGTGTCGTATGAAGATATTTATAAGCGAAACTTGATTTATTTTTTTCATACAGCTAATTAATTTTTTGTTCTGTAGTAACGCTGAATGAGGATCGGTAATCCTTTACAACGTCTAATCATTGTCACTTGAGTTATCCACGTGAAAGCCAGCGAGAAAGAAAGGCGGGATTTTTCTCGCTGTAATAGATTTGTCGTTGCCATTTCAACCATTATTCTCTGCCTCTGGTGAAAGCAACTAGAAGAGAAATTTTAGGTATTCCGACATTGGTTTTATCTTCAGTTAAAAGAACTGTTTCCGCCTCTTACCGATTGGATTGTTCATCGATCCGCATTGACCAGAGGAATTTAATTATAGGATGCGCATTTCGAATGCAGACGAACCCGAGGGAAAGTTTTATACCAATGTATTTGCCCTAATCCCTATCATTGCTTATTCTGTCCTTCCGTTTTACCGCATTTGTTTGTTACGATTGGCAGCCAGTGATACGTTGCCATTGAATCATTCTACGATTCTCTACGATAACTCACTGCTTCGTAGCCAAAAATTGCGAGAGATAATTCACCTCGAGCATTTTTTTCGCAATCATACGCAAATCTTGCAATTATATAACGAAGAAACATAATCTCTAAATTTTTTAAATTAAAAAAATTAAGTTTTTTAATTTATAATAAAAAAATCTTTTAATTTTATAATAAAAAATTAAGCAATTAGTACGTTATAATTATTACAAATAATCATAATTTTCTATTCTGTCTTTAATTAAAAATAATCCTTTTCTCGTTCGTTAAAGGAAGCTTCGAAGAAGAAGATTTAAAATCTCAGAATCTGCAATTGGTCTATTATTAATTTCAACGCGTTTTTACGAGGTAAGGATACCTCAAATGTAAATGCACGATCTAAATTCTGGAGGCGTTGGAAATATTTATAAGCCACGAAAAGCCATCGACCAAGCGATTGATCGAGGACCAGCGATTTATACGTCGTTATAAAAGTTTGTATCTCACCTCGTCGTCGCGATAAATTCTTCAATAACTTTGACGAAGTCGGCTTATGGGTGTCGCCGCGTCGCATACACCGTGCTACTCTCTCAACCTATGGACTGCAAGTCCAAGTTTTCCGCCGCGCCCATCATATTTTATAAACATTCTTTTAAGTGGATCTGAAAGGTGCCATTAAGGCTGAAAGGCTAAAAACATGGGTTGAGAGATGCGGGAAAGTAACGTCATATCTTAGATCGATACATTTCCGCTCAAAGGATTGCGAAATTTTACTGGGAGATTGAAAAAGATAAAATCTGTCTCTTCTTTTTTTTTTTTTTTTTTTTTGAGCTAGCTTATTGAGAAGTTTTACTCATACGACAATAAACAAAAATTTTAATAGAGAATAAAAAATTTTAAAGAGAGCGATTATCTTTTTAAAATGTGTGCAACTAATTGCCTGATGATAGAATTAATCTTGCGCATTTAAACACCTACAAAAAGTTAACCAAACAAAATTATTTCGTAACGCTGTAAGTTTTACGAGAATATGGTGGTTGCGGCGAACCTTTAAGCTCCTGTACAAGACACCTGCTCGGAGAGTCTATGCCTAACTACAAAGAACTTTCATAACTTACTTGTTTGAGATTTTGCTGCGGAGAAGCGTTGCGGATAACGGACACTAAGAAATATGGTGTACGGAGAACGTTTACGGGATATAATGAAGCATCGCGAGAAGCAAGTGCATCTAATTTCGACGCATCCAACTCGCAGGCATTGTTTTCTATACTATATATATGACCTGATAGACAGATTTTATGGTATATTTTCCTATTAATAATATTGATGATGATGGATATCGTTGAAACTTTTAACGCGATATTAACTTTTAACAAGCCACTCATTTCTCAAACTTCATCCCCATGCAACAAAGCTTTTATTCTATCATCATCCTTCAATATAACAGATTATGTAGAATGCAAAAATGTTTAAAACAATAACTAATTGATATATATTATGTTATGCATCTTAATAATAATGAAATTAGAAACCTTGCTATTTATTGCTTGTTTCCAGTATTACGATTTAAAAAAATTAATGAAGCCAATTTAGTGAAACCACTGGAACCTCTTTAGTCTTGTATGATAAAATATTATGTAATGCATATGAATTTTTACTTCGATAGATAATAATAGCGATTATATTTACTGAAATTGATAAAATAGAGATTTTGGGGACACAATATTGTTTCCTACTGCCGACATGGTCAGTCGGTCGTCGAGCTTGCAGAGCTTTGCAGAGCTTTCGCAAGCTTTATTTACGTCAGTCGGTAAAACTTGCTTTCAACTGATCTTTTGTAAATAAATTTCTCGTATAATATTTAGAAAATTATTTATTAAAAAAATGCCAAAGATAATGACATGATAATTGACATGTAACATTTTTTTAATTAAAACAACAAAAACTTATAATTTTAGAAAAGAGTAGAGTCTTAATTAAAATTTTTAGGAGAGAAAAAGAAAGAACTCTGAAGCGTAGAAATACAATCTTTATTTTAATATCAATATTATTCTATTCTTTTCTTATAGTCTTATAATACTGACATAGATTTATTCAGCGGGTTCGCATTTATAACAATAATGTATCAATCAAAAGCACGTATTTTGTTGAGATCGAAGTACATGTTTTAGTTTGCCATCGAAATGTGTGTACACATTGACGCACATTGACGCGATGTAAACTTAACATTGGCAGCCGAAAATGAATTTCATAGAGAATAATTTTGCCACATGTGAAGGAGGAAACTGACAAACATTACGCAGAAGTCAGTAAAAGCTGCGTAATGATTGGTACGTGCCGCATTCCATTGATCATGATGAACAGCAGCTTGTTTTTCACCTACAATTCAAAAGGGACAAATGAGATGTCATCATTATATGTACGATATTATTATTAACCGAAAACGTTTTCTCAAAGCTGTTTTCATTACGCTTATATTCCGATTTCTGTTCCTTACAATTTAGTTGCAAATAGCGAACTATCTTGACGTAATACATCTTTATAAATATTATTTATGTTCATTAGATCTCTTTTGTAAGATGTTTATTTTTTTAAGAGAAATAAGAACGTTCGAGGAAAAATACAAAGCCATTTACATTCGTTAATTCCGCGCGTTCGATGATTTTTTTTTTTTATTTAATTTACCATTTAGGACGTGAATATGCACCGCGGTCGTGCTGAATTGGCTTACTGAGCACGTATATTCCCCGCTGTCAGTCTTTTTCGCTCGTTCGATGTAGAGCCTCGTCACCAGATCCTCGTTCGACCTGAAAAATCGGTTGCTATATTTCGTGTCGCCATACGCGTGCATGCAGTGTTCGGCGCTAGTATCTATAATCTACTAGCTTCCGTCCGCTAAATTTTAATGATAAATAAATAAAAAACAACGCGGAGATTAAGAATACGTAATCTTCTCGGACGGTGTCCGAGCTGCATTATGCGTATCTTTACGTGCGTCGAAAACGTAAAGACATATAAATATTCTACGGAGATGTCCAGCGCGAACTGACTTACGGACGTTGAATAAAGAATTATACCGTAATCCAAGCTCCGGCGTAGCCGGATCGCCTGTATCCGACACGGACGCAAATAGCTTTTGAATACCAATTCAACCCGAACTTGAGCCGCCGCGATAAAATTCGCCGCGAGATCGCTCCAGTTCTGTCCCGGCGAAAGAGAGATAAATTTTCGACGCGTGTCGTAGCGAGTCTCGAGACGATCAATCGCGGGCGGTTGCATCGCGTACAAAGCGTACGCTATCGCTCGTCAACGCGTACGCCCTCCGGGTTTAGGGGGTAATGCCGACGGCATTGCGGGAGGATAAGACCCGATCTACGTGTATCTATACGAATAGACAATATCTCCGTACGTCCGCGCACGTGCACGTGCAAATCGAGATGCAGCCGTATATCCGTATCTCCGGGAGAGCTCCATCTTCGATCCATCGTCCCGGCCCGCGATATATACGCTCACCCATTAATGTGATAAACGTTGATGTGATCCGGCAGCATTTCGCCATTTTTCCGCCACACGGGATGCGGCACCCTCGAGTCCGGGCAGGACGGCCGGACGACGCAGGCTAGCTCGATTCCGCTTCCGGTTTTGTAGTATCGGTCCCGTAATTCATGTCTGGCCTCGTCGATGATTCTAATATCCGGCGCTGTAAAGGCACAGATGTACCACTGAATTAATCCTTGTCGTTGATGAAGGAGCAACTTTTCCGTATTCCATTTTTTTATCTTTCTTTCTCTTTCTGTCATCCTCGATTAAGTATTATGAATTGACACGTTTAATTTTTAAGATATTAAAAATAATTTAATTTTTTGAGATATTTAAAGTTACTAAATATTTTAAAAAACGAATTGTCGCATTATTCGCATAAAATTTATATAATATCGAATGTTGCGAATCATGTCATTTTAACAATTTTTGAAAAGAGTCTCTGCCTTTTGACACATTTGCGTATCATTTTTCGCAATTTGCGGAGTTATGCAATTAATATTTATATTTCATAATTGAACCGAAAAAGAAAATATCGCTAGAAGGCACCGGGAATGATGAGCGCGGATCGGCACATGCAGACGTATTTGTTGAGATGCCAGGGAAGAGAGGTAAAATAAAGTTGCATGTTGTAAAGGTGCATCGTTGCCGTTGCAACGAGTCGCACTACGTGATACAACTGTGCCTGGTTTGTTTCCGGGCGGGATGCCGCAAGATATTCTCACGGTAATTGAATCTTTACGAGGGCGGAATTTAAATTCGCGACTACGCCGTTTAGGTGCGCCACGACAGTCGGCAATTCGCAAACGTAGGATTTGGCGTACTGAAATGGAAAACAATACATGCATCTCGCGGCTACCGAGTGTCACGGTATTATACCCAATGCTTCGTAATATATCACACAAAAATATCCGGAAGGTACACGTAGATTTCAGAACTGAAAGGTTACATAAAAAGTATAAATACTCTACAAACCGATATAGAATTCTATGATTTATTCTCTCACGCTTTTTATCACCTCCGCTTCTTCGTAGAATATAGACAGAAATAAAACATGCACGATATATATTGATTACAGAAACAATAGAAATAGAATACGTGAAATCGCTTTTAAATTGATCAAATATGACTGAGATAATTCATATATATATATATATAAAATTTATTTACGAAAAAGTTCTCTCTCTCTCTCTCTCTCTCTCTCACAATATAATATTAAAAATACTATTATGTAATTTTCTTTATTTATGCAGAAATTTTAATTTTTCGTCACGTTTCGTTGAGCATTATTCCGCGGCATCGTACTATATTTCCTATGTTTATATCCGCGAGTTAATACCGCACTGCTCCCGTAACTATTTATTTTTCGTTACGCAAATGTATTCGCAAGCGGAAACGTGCATGCCAAGCGATCGCGAGTGCTTCCATTTTTTAGTGTGAATTGCAACTGATGAAAATGGAACGGTTCGATAGACAGGTGGAATTGTTTTTTTTTTTTTTATTAAATGTAAAGAAAACGAACTATATCTTCTATTACTTACATGGGGTAAAGTCTTAACCGTTAGAAATTTATTAAACTAAAAATCGTTTTTCGATTAAATACTTTTATTTATCTCTAAATCAATTGTTGCCTTCATTTTTATTTATACGGGAAATCGTTTAATCTTTTGCATTCGTTCTTATCTTAAAAATATATAGAATATATATTATCAATTTTCATTTCTCTAATTGAAAATTATAAAAGAAACAATAATTATAAAAAAAAATAATATATAATATTGGAATGTAAAACCCGTGAACAACGTAGGATTAATATCTAACAAAGCAAATAAGGGTTTTATGGAACCCCCCCCGTTGTATAATCACTGAAAGATTTTACGACATTGGCAAAATATATCGTTAACTTCTCTCGCGTTTCCGCAATTTAGAAGTTGTTATGTCCGCGCTGTTATCTCATTATCGACGCAACATGTTCGTATCGGGTAAATTATTTTTGTATCTCTATACCCGCAGTTCTGCCCGCGGTTCCTTTTATTTCCTCGTAAAAACATGACATTACCAAGAACGGTGACGTTCGTGACCAGCATTCTTGGCGGATGCGTATTCACTTGGCAAACGTACACTCCGTGATCTTCTCTCCGTACGCCGGAGATGGCCAATCTCCAGTTGTTTGGATACTGAAAGCTCACGCTGTATCTCGAATCCGATATGTGGGTAGTATTACCGAGAGTTAAGAGGGATGCCCAATCGATGTTCTGTCGCAACCACATTACCTGGAGTTCGCGAAAATATTTACTGATTGCGGGAGAAAATTGGATTGTGCGGCGCGCAGAATGCAGTAGTAGTCGTAGTACGAGTATGATCAGACAAGTCGTTTATAACAATAATAGTAACAACAATAAAAACAGAACTAGTAGAAAACGCCATTCTATAATACGATAATTATTGTCCGCATAATATATTAATATTAATTTGTTAATAAAAATAATTTTAATTGCGAATACACTTGAGTATAAAACTATTTTGCCCTTCTAATTATTTGAAATAGCGTTGATACGATTTCAGTGACATTAAATTAAAAACATACGGGTTTAAACACGCGACTAGACGAAATTCTGATATGCACCTTCTTCCCAGAGAGCATTGCGACGCGGCAATCAAGATAAGCTGTTGCCCCAAGGTGCAGCGCCACATTTTGCGAGCCGTTGATACCCTGGCCGTCTGCATTTTCAAAGTATGGATCCCAATCCGTGACACGATGATGCCTCAAACGTGGAATTCGTAAGGGCGGCAGATTGGCGATTACTTCTGAAACATATCGTTAAACGATTTTATCAAATTATTTCTTTGCTTTTAAATTATCGAACCTATGTCAAAATTATGTCGTTTTCAAAAATTGTTAGCATTAAATACTAACGATTTCCTATTTCAGTGTTATCGTGTCTAAGCTCTTTAACGTATCGATTAGCCTTTAAGTGAGGTTTGTGATTGTTAGCGATATAGGTAGACGCGTGGATAAACAATAGAACTACTCCAAGAGACAATCTTGACAAGATTTTCACGTAAGCCGCCGACATCCGTTTTGACTGGTGCGGCTATAATGGATTCTCGCGAAAACACGAGATTCGTATTGAAAAACACGAAAAACGAAAAGAAATGTTATGTAAGTTATAAAATAAATTGTGTATTCACTTTGCCAATTTATATCTTCACTATCTGCTTTTCTATTCGAGAACGAAAAACATTACATATCGAAGTGCTTTCCCAGATTTGAGCGTCTTATCGAGTTCATCATGTTCTTTCCTTTGCAACAAGTTTAAAACTGTCTTATGCAAGATTTCCCCGAAATAAAGAATAAAGACGCTCTTTCCCTCCATCCTATATCTTTTTTAATTTTTTAACGATGCAAAGTACAAAAGTAATAATTTTAATTATCGTTAGAAAGAATTTTACGTTTTTGTCACGGGGATTCGTAAACAAAACAATCACAAGAAAATAAAGAGGCGCGACATAAAATTGCAGCCGCATAACCTTTTGACCCTTTATTTCGCACGTTTCGTAACCGCGCGAAGGTTCTGCTCGAGCTTGCGAAGCACTCAGAAATTTTACGGATACTTGAAATACAAAAGGTACAATTATGCTGTAATGGTGAGCAGGTGGCTTTACCGCAACGAACGACACAGCGTTGGAAAGTTGCGGGTAAGGTTTCCACCATACTTTGGTCTGACGTCATTTCTTCATTGCACTTTACGTATTGTTCTACAATTCGTGCGAATTTCTGAAATTTTTACACGGAACGCATACTTTTCAAGTGATATAAAATATCAATTATTTAAATACCGCAATGGCGCAACGAATAAATATATCGTACGAGAAACAAATAATATAATTGATAAAATATAATATTAATTTCATTCTTCTCTTACAATTAAACATCCTCCACAAATACGTTTATTTCAACTACCACAAGATGAATTAACATTAGTGATTCTGAAATTTAAACTTGAAGGTTTTTTCACGACTAGAAATTTGTAAAACTTCACTAAAACAGCAGAGGAGTCATAACTCTTCAATCTCTCACGTAATCCTGAAAAAGGCATTTGCTAGAGAATCTTTCGGGTCCGTGAACGACCGACATGTTTCTTGGTGAGTGTGGTAACGGCGCTTTCTTACGATCCGGAAGTCCACCGAGGTCAATCCCTGATTTTCTTCGTGGCTGTCGAAAGCTCGGCTACCCAATACTGCGAGGTTGCGTAAAGAGAGACAGGGTCGTACGATTTTACAGAGCCGCGGAAGTTCATCTTTTGTTCTCTTTTCAGACACAAAAGCAGATTGTCCACCGTCATATACACAGCTTTACGAGATCGCGGAAATTGAAAATCTATTCCTCCTTACTCCGTGCAATTTCGGAATAATCTTCACGGCAGTTGGAAGAGAAAAGATGAGACATGAAAGTTCAAAGGAAACGCGAAATGGTAATACATTGTCGAGAGATGATGACAACATCGCGAGCTGAACTTCTTGAAAAAAAAAGGCGGAGAATAAGTACAGTATTTCTGGCAGAGTGCACGACAAAAGCCCTTTTGAATTAATCTAGGTCAGGCAAACAATCAGATCCATTTATGTGCTCCATTTCTCTCTTAATTTACATATCCCATATAGTTATTTCCTATTTTTATTTTTTTGGTTGTTTCAAGTAGCGGTAAAATTAGACTTTTATAACACGTTTACGTCAACAGATAATTTCAAAGAATCTTTTTTTCTTGAAAAAACACGTCTACAGTGTCTAGGCGTTAGAAATACATGTACACATATACATTTCAATATTTTCTTTGATATTGTTAAAGTGCAATTATGATAAATGATTCTTCATCGCTACGCATCTTTAGAGATGGAATTTCATGACTGATCTGATTTGTTCCGGTCGACGAAGAAAATTACCCATCCGTTATTGATTCGATTATGCGGGAGCGCTCGGGGTTAACGAGAGAGAGAGAGAACTAAATGTCTGCGACACAATGACTACCTTTGTCTCTTTCAGATTTCATAGATCGTACTTTAATCAAATGAAAAAGTTAAGGGATGGACGGCGAAAGAATGCCGACTCATTCCTATCAAAATATCGCGAATCATACGTCTTTGTTCATTAATTTTTGAAACAATGCAATATATCACGAGTCAAATAAATGTCAATAACAATATATTTAATCAAATTATTTGTGCACTGCAATTGATGCATAATATTATACTGTTGTTGCAATTGTTAATACATTGTTAATGATAGATGAAGAGCATTAAGCAGAAAATGTTATTTGTTTATTGATTGAATGTACACAATTCGCTGAAACTAATTTAATATATCTTTATTAATTTATTACTATCTCTCTCTCTCTCTCTCTCTCTCTCTCTCTCTCTCTCTCAGCAATGCACTACACAAATTATTAGTAAAACCACGTAATCCGGATATCCCTTTCAGAGGCACAAATAAAATTCATTTATATATCTTTGCGAGTTTGTGATTACAGATCTGTAAATTCAATCTATTTATTGAAATATAAATATATATCGATGGCCGGAAAAATCAAACATGGAATATTCATATTTCGAAAGGTTTAGAGGGCTCTATTAATTTATTACCGTCCAATCAGGATATCGCGATCTATAGCGGAGAATTAAATCTAAGTCTTTTAATATCAATTTGATATTTTATATCCGTTAAATCTTTCTTTCGTCTTCTCTGTCTCTGTTCTCTGTTCGTCTTCTCTGTTCTCTGTTATTTCTCCCTAGTTTATTTTTACACATTGATTTTCATATACGTCACACTTGATTGATTTTTATACACACATCATAAAAATTTGGCTACTCATTTATTTATAGGGCGAGCTAATTGCTATAGATTTTCCATTAGGGATAGAAGAAAATATTTATCTGTTACTGTGTATTTGCTGTGTACGTGCGTGTTTTGACAAGAGGTATTTTATTTTTCTTTAAAAAGATATTTTATTTTGATATATTACCTTGACGATTATTTGAAATTCAGATGAAGCTATATGTGAATAAAAAGATCGGAACGCGGCGCGTGAAAGAATTCGCGTGATTTATGTTTCACCACGGCTCGGTGCTTATACTTGCTTTCAATTGAGAATAACGCGGACCTGCGTTTTTAATTATGTTCTAACGGCTCGTGAAAGCTAAGCGGGCATTTCGCGATTCTCTACAAAAGCACAGATTGCGCCTTGCTGCTCGAACGCGATGTATGTAAGCCGGCTTCGAGATTTTAGTTAGCCACTAAAGCGACTGCTGTGCGTTACACGTTCGGCGTATAATCCAATTCGTAAACGCGAATCGACTGCTACATTGGATATAAAACCGTTCCTCTTTTCTTCTTTTTAGTTTAAACACAAACGACGATTCCATTCGCTATGTGACATTAATCATCCATGAAATGTAAATGCAAAAATGTAAATGCGGACAGGAAAATAAGAAGAAGCTCCAGGAGCCTCAGGTGCAAAAAAACGCAAGCGGACGGTTTCCTTAACGATTGGCATAAAATTTAATGCTATTTACAGTTGGAGTAGTTTACGAGTCGCAGTCATTACCTGGAATGCGTTATCCTGGAACGCATTAATTTAGAGAAAAAAGAAGCCTTACGTTATATTGGATTTCGACAACGTAACGCCGCGAGAACACACGCGATTTTATGTATAATAAAAAAAAAAAATCGACTTAAAAAATTGTAAAATATTGTTCGTGCATATAGAAGCCGGATTCAGGTCACATCGGGTACGGTATTAAAAAAGCATTACAGGCCTCTGAATAACGTTCGGCAGATGCGGTAATATTGCGGTGCATCACAATGCGCTTTTGTGTTACGATCGATGTTCTCGTAAGCAAGTTTCAAACCGTGTTACGTGATATCAATACGCCTACGAAGACGAGCGTTTTAATAACGCGTGGGGCTGCTCTTGACGACGAGCTCACAAGCGGATACCTATACGATCGAGCGGAACAACTTTAATTAAGAGTGTGTCCATTAGGCATTCGGAAGGCGAATTGTATAATGGAAAAAGTTCGAAATCACTGTACGCGTTTTTCATTAACGCTAATGGGAGGCAGCTGAACCCACAAGCCGGGGGAAATCCGCTCTCTCACGACACGGCGGAAATTGAAGTATTCGCAAAAGTGTTTTATTATCGATCCTCGATGCAACTCTTAACTGATTATCGCGGATCCTCTTCTATGTTTCGGACGATAACTCGCAGTCTCGCAGTCATTAATTGCGACGAGACTGTCTTAATTGGGACGCGGAACGAATGTGCCGCTTAAAGTGACCGAATATAAATTCTGCAGTTGTCCGGGGAAAATCAGGTCCCCAAAACGACCTCTGGATTCGGCTCGAATAATACTCGGTTGGTGTATGCGAGGGTCATAACCCCGGATAATAGGATCTCTGAAAATATTTGGCGTCAGAATTACTAATTCGTCGTGTCTGTGCAAACATTTGTACAATGTGTTATTAGGCATACATAGGAATTTCATTCTCGCGATACATTATTCTGCTAAATCACACGGTAATTATATCGCGAGGTAAAGGTGAGATTTTATTGAATAACGAATAACTGCACTTGATCGTTCTCACGTTTTCCGCTCGCCGGAGAAAATTTTACGAGCTTTTTACGAGGCCGCGCGCGTCACGTTACGTTCGTATGTACCTTAAAGAGAAGTCTACGATCATCTTTGTCTCATCCCTCTCCTTCCGTATTTTCTTCCGTCGCTCGTGTGCGAATCCGCAAGACGCGCGGTTTCGACTGCATTCTACAATCGAGGTCGCACGACGGCGACGTAATAAATATACATCCACAAGACCATTTGTTTCCGTACATCGCCTTATGGCAAGGATGCTACCCATCGTCGAAGATGCTACCATCCGTCTTGTCGCTCATTTTTCATCGGCCAGTACCAGCCTTGTTGATGCTCCGCGAACCCTCCGTCGAAATGAGACGACGTTTGCGAGTTTCTCATACTTTGTGCTCGAAGCTCGACGTGAATCCAATTACGAAGGCCAGAGGAATGCGTATAAGTTGGACCAGCGTTCGACTGCGAAAAGTTGTACGATGACTTATACAGAAAGAGAGAGAAAAAGAGAGAAAGAAAACGTATAATTTTTTTTTTTAATACAAGTCGTACGTCGTAATTTGTATAGTACGTATTTAAATTCAATACACATTTTATATCGTCTGCTGCACATGATAATACTTTTTCATATTTTTTTTTATGACGTATCGTTTTACAAAATTCTTCCAAGATCTTTAAAATTATATGCCAATTGCACGCGGTAGGGCATGACGTTGAGAAATTTTGCGGTGCAGCAATGTTACACCTAAATTATGGGTCATAAAGAACCGTCGCAAAAGTTATAATTACTCTCATAAGTAATGGAAGGATATAACCTATCAATCAACTGAAAACTAATATAGGGCCAGGTCAACAGTTTATTAAAACGACAAGTTATCTCTTTCGTGATGACAAGTTTTATCCCTCGACAAAGGATACTTGCGGACAGATAACACCACGCCAAATCTAGGAAGATAACATGCTTGCCTGTAACGATGAAACTTTATATGTAATCCGCAAGATAATCCTCACCTCTTCCCCCTCCTGCCCCGATCGATGCGCGATATTAAACCCAACGTGTCAGTAATTCTGTGCAGTCCTTTCCTCGTTCCTGTATCATTGCGTTACCTTGACGTTGCACGTTCAAGTATTTATGCAATTTCTTCTCTCTCATATAACTTACACCATTAAAATTAGCTACTGTAATTGGATTGCTACTTCCGCGATGGAGGAAGAATTTCAATGTACGAATGCGCCTCAGGAACAGAAGGAAGAGCGTAATTTCTGCGTAATTTAATTATATCGCGAAAGTGCGCTCTCGAAAAGTACAGTCGCTTGTCTTTTGTAAGAATTTTGTGAAGTTTTTAAATTACGATTGTTACATTTTTATTCGTCAATTTGACAGTGATAACAATTATTTATTTTTAATTATCAATCCGTATTGTTACTCATGAATATTTTTCAACATTTTTTTTAATATAACATTTTGTTCGTTTGCGATGGCTGTTTTCGGTTTGACTGGGCCTATACAAAAGCATGCATAATGGGACTATGAGAGAGACAATTTCGCAGTGTGACAAATAGGTCAAACGTGCATGGTCAGATTCGCTTCCTGCCACGCATCCACGTGTCTCGTATCTGCACGCTTCATTACAAACCAGAAGTTCGGCATACAATAACCGTCTGTACCTGGTGTCTCGTTATTTTCTTTGATATACTACAAAACTCAAATACTACAAAACTCAAATACTACAAAAAGTAGGTTCTCGTCAGTGGCACTACTCCAGTGCCAATTGTTATGTCAATGCGATTCAAAATTTATCGATCTATTTATTCCCGTCAGAGAATCCTACGTCAGAGAGATATAAATATTCTAATATAAGATAGAGGTATAAATATAGAGATATACATGAAACATATATATGTATTAAATATGTATGAAACACATATATATATATATATATATGTATTAAATCTAGTCCAAGAAATATTTGGAAAGTTGTTCTTAAAAGAGCGTGTAATTTTTAAAACAAGTTATTTTCTCTTGATTTATAAATATAACGGAGGTTCCAGTAAGAAAGAATGGGAAGATTTCATTTTCGATTCCACGACGTTAGTCGTAGTCGAAGTCGTAAAATGCATAGCGCGGATTGGCAACGACAAACATTGTAAATAGCATGAGACGGTCGGTGTGTATGTGCAGCAGGCTCATGTATGTGTAGCCAACATTTACACGTGCGAAGCTACGTGTGTAAGTGCAGTCGAATGACAAGTCGCCAAACGAGTTTTGAATTGAATATTTCATCGGGTGAACTCCAGGTTTACTATCCAAAGCGACTTTCTCATCTTGACAGGAGCATCAGTATCGCACACGACTAATATATAAATATATATTGAAAAATAAATGTGCAAAACAACAAATGTATGAGGAACAGTGAAAGCTGCTACAAAAAAAAAAGATTTATTTTTAAAATAGAAATATCAGAAATTTTCCTTTGCGCTCTTATAAAGCTGCATTAATACAGCGACCGTGGTGATGATTCTTTCAAAGCGCTTGATAAGATTGCGCCGCATTACTTTAAGTGCGGCTTCAGAAAAATGTCATAACGGCGACAAAGTTAAACTTTCATGAAGATTTTTCGTGAGAGTGGGCAGCTGTGTCACTTTAAATAATTTATTATTAATATAATGCGGACGCTGTATTACAAAATTGAATTTACATGTTTAACGTTCCCGATGAATAAAAGTAGATTATAATTAACAATATGAGAGATACCATAATTAATATGAGCGCAATATGAGAGAAAAGATATAAGTTATGCGTTATGCTCTTTTATATGACTGTGTGATACGAAATTTTTTGACGTTTTAATAAAGTACTTAAATGACGTACGCTAGTTAAACGAGCGTGCGCAACTTTTTTTACGTACTGCTATGAAAGCCTGAAATTTCACTTGTATGAAACGGCTCTGGAAACGGTCGACTACAGCAAACGACTCTTTAAAGTCTAATCGGTTCAGCATTGAAATCCGGGATTTGCTATAAAGCTATATAGGACAAATGCACATCTTCTTACTGGTTCTCGACGGAAAAGCCAGCGCAAGCTTCCACAGAAAGTAAATATCCGAACAGTCAAGCTAATATAGATACGAGATTGTAGTCCATCGGAAATCGGACGATGTAGCCATTCGACGTGTAATTTAGCAATCGTAGCAAATAACGGGGAATAATTCCGTCCGTCCACGAACAAAAAGATCCGAAATACCAGTTTCGATGAGTCTCCACTCTCGTATTTTTTTTTTTTTTTTACACTTTATTGTCAATCGACAGCTTTTTGTTCTCTGGCAGAATCACGATAGGTCGACGTATGCTTTTAGAGTATATTTCACGTTTAAAAATAAAAAAAATGTAATCACCCTAGACCGCATCACGTTGTGAAATTTTACATGATATCGAAACTTTCCCATGCTTGGTGCAACCAAAGTGCATGAAAGTCCAACTAACTTTAGCACCGAAACGAATCACTCTTACGGCTCGGTTTCTCGGCTTAGTCACGTAGTGTTCAACTTTAGAGCGGGTAATTAAACCCAAAGTTCCCAAAGCTCTTCGATTCCGAATTTCTACGCGACGTTTATTATGTTACAACGATGTCAGAGATCATTCGGCGCGATACGTCTGAGATACATTCACAGGTCAATATGCTTAGAACATTTATATATATATATATATATATATATATATCTATTCTGTACGAATTTATATATATGATACAGATCAAAATTAATTCTTCTTTACATTCCCTCAGAAATCATCCGAATCAATTTGCAAATAAAAATTTGAGAAGTGCTATTATTATTGCAGAAAAAAAGTCAGAAAAAACGGAAAAAGCGGAATGCATCGGGAAAAAAATAGCGAAATAAATAACAGCGACTCGTTCTATTTGAGGCTTTACTCGTTCTGTTTGAGGCTTTACTTTGACTACGTATGAGGAAGTAATTGCGGCATCGGTATCCAAAACGAACTACGTATCGTATCGTTGTGTAACGCACCTTGCGATTGAGTGATATTCCTGGTGATTTTGTGGCTGTTAACGAGCTGCTCGCGCAGGTGTCTGTCGCGATGCCGTGGATAATTGGCGATAACGATCGTGATTGCCGCCAATACGAGGCAGAACCTCGACCCCCATGCTGGTCCTGTCATCGCCCGTCGTACTTCGCATCCCCTGTGGTTTTTGAAATGCAGTCGAGGGTGTTGAAAAGGCTATGATGTATTTGCACGGTTCCCGGAGCTTTCGCTTCGTCCCTGGTTCTGAAAGCCAAACATGAACGCTGAAGGGATATGAGTTATCCGCACGATCTGGATGTACCGTGGATTAAACACAATTAAATTGTTCACATGTAAAGATTAAAATATGTTTAATAATGTGCGATGAATCGATAGATAAATTAAAAATAGAAATAAATTAAAACGATTGAAAAGATCAGTAATCCAGAGAATAAATAGAATAAATACTTTTTTTTTAATCTTCACTTGTATGATGTAAAATTATTTTTTTTAGGAATTTCCCATTTTTAGTATTTTGCATTTACAATGTTTTGCAAAATTAAAAATGACAGAGTGCTATTAAGAAATAAGATCATTTGTACTCTTTATATCGTGTGAAAAATTATATGAAGGAATATTATATATTTGCTCTTCCTATGTTTACAATGTTTTGCAAAATTAAAAATTGACAAAAACCACTAGGATCGATTGTTATTTCTCGCAGTTGCTGCCGCAGTGCGTAGGTTGCATCTATATTGCTTTTGTTCGTATATGTGCAACCCGTCGAGTGGCGCGGAAATAAACGAAAATGGAAGTTACTGTGGACAACGCGCAAGAAAAATGCGACGATGACATCCGAAACAAGTGAGAATTTAGATGCGCCCTAGAAATGTATTATTTTATTATCCCTATGCTCTATGCATCTTCCTTTTGCTAAATCCATATTCAAAAGGGGGATTGTATAGCAAACGAAAAGGAAAACGTGCGAAGAAAACGCGACTTCATCTCCGGAAAAAAAAAAAATACATTTATCTTTCACGGAAAATTTACTAAAAAGCGTTTCTATTTCGTCTTCCAACGATCCAATTTTACCTACAAGTGTCACGTGTTTTTTATCCCGATTATATACGATGGATAGGATAATAAAACGAATGAAGGAGAATAACATTTATGTGCGATATCGCCAAGAGATAGATCGTAGATAAGGATCATAGATTCATTGAATTTGTCGTCAAAACGTAATGTTGATTGCGCAATTACGTCAATGCATAATAAAATAATCTAATATTTATTTATTTATCCAATTTAGAACATGCATACCATAAAAATTGATGAATGTTGTTAGAAATCAACGTCGATATAATTCTGGAATTTATGCAAGAGAAGAAAGAGACACCCCTGTTATGAAATAATTACGCAATTATTTTCGGAACATCGCGTTTAATACCGCTGTAATAAAATTTTCAACTGGCAAATTTCGCTTATCGAATTTCGCTCTGCTTGCTCATAATCTTCTACTGTAATAAGCATAGTTTAACATAAACGCAATATGAGTTCGCAATATTCTGTAATTATGCGATCATTAATAAAATTGCATTAGATATTCTCAGAAACCTAAGCATTCGATTTTACGTACCTAATGTCACTTTTTATCATGCATAATTTACCTGATATAAAATGATACAAACGGCTAAATATCGGCTAATACAGTCTGATTTGTAAAAATTAAACTTAAAATATTAACACAATTAATAACAGAAGAATCCAGAAATGACCATTATCATTCACGTCGCAAACAATTTGAGCGGCGTTGCCCCGCAGTGATGTTTCCTTAAATTTCAGCCCGAAGCAGAGAGCAGCTAATACTCCGCAAATTTTGAATATATTGTTTTCGAAGGCGTTCATGCATCTAATAGAATTGATGTTATGAAGTTTTAGCTCGTTAGACTTCTCCGACAGCATATTCTGGCCGCGGAGATGTAGAACGATTGTCGAAGAGCGAGCGGAGAGAGCGCGTACAGAGAACGGGAGGAGAGAGAGGAAGCAGATACGAAGCGGAAAAGAAGCGAGGTAACACATAGAACTAGTTAGAACTAGAAGGAAAGAGAGTGGCAGCACCAGAGCTAGGCAGCCGGAACTTTTGCAGTTTCTCGGGGATTCACCTGGCAGTAAAGCAGGAACTGCTATCTCTATTCGAGAAAGAAGATATAGGCGATCGGGCCGCCTTCGCGATTTTCATCTTGAGATATGCGCCAGCAATCCGGCCGGTAGGCGGCTGGATTATTGTGTCCGAATAACAAGGTGAGAGGATTTGCAATGCAAATCTCGCCATTATTGTGCGGGTGATATCCGGCGTGCTTTCTATGCGCGCTAAAATCTCCCCGCGCATTTACCTCCGTCATAGCGAAAAGCATATTCTTTTAATTGTTAATTCGTTTAATAGCAATTGCTTTATAAATCCACTCGCCTGATTATTCCACGACGGTTTTGAATGTCATTGTAAATGTTTTTGCAAAAGTAAGATTTGAAAGATTCAAAAGTAGCTTTTTATGCACGGGAAATTTTTTCATTTATGAGAAATTTCCCATTTGTCTTGTAAATCTTGTTTCGCGCATTACAATTTTTAATAATTAAATCTATACTGTTTCTGACCTGCTTTTGGTACATGGCATTAATTATTACTTTTTTTTTTCCTTATATATATTCTTATAACATTAAAAAAAAAGAGAGTCGCATGTTCAGAGACAACAGATGAAACATTTACAAGTTTGTAAAATAATTCACGTGCGCACAACAGCGAGGTATTGCCGATGGCTGTGGTATCGCAATATGTGCGACTTCCAAAGATTTTCTTCGGAATAACGATACTGCTTTTCGGCTTTGGAAGTAGTGCGGAATCCGTTATAACGTTGCAGGAAGTCGTTTTCCACTGATATTTATGACATGACGAATCGCGTAACTTACTGTTGAAACCGCAGCTGATGAACGAACTAGCTTGCTGCGCCTTTCCTCCATTTTATTTCCACACAATATAAATGTCTTTAGTAAGTTGCATTTAGCGTGTTTTTTGCCATACAATTTTTGAAAACATTTGCAAGCGTCTGCAATCATAGTTAGTAGAAAAAAATTGAATAAAGAATATTCTAAAATTCTTTTATTGTTTTATATAAAATTCTTTTATTTTATTTAAAAGGTTCTAAAATTATTTTTTATATAATTTATTCTTATATTATTTCTTTATGTTTTATATCATTTTCAATAATTTTTTGATATCTCAATTCTTCTTAAATTTTTTTTTTAATAAATCTTCTGTCATGCAATAAGTAATAATAAATCCGAATCCATTATTTTTTAACTGCATTTAATTAAATTAATTTCAAGGATATGTCAATAATTCGATATAATTCAATTGTTATAATACATCGGTGTAAACCTGTTCAATATAACTTCGTGCATGCAACACGTTGTGTCGTGTTGTCATTACAATTAACAATGGGATTGGTGGAGACAAAAGCCGCCGCATTATTAAGATACGGTATCATTTAAGCTATACGGATCGTTGAAATAATACCCAACCCCTTCTCGGCGTAACTAAAGCAAGATTACGGGCAAAAGCTTTCGTTATTTCTGCGCATAATGTACATCATCATACATTCCCCACGTTAGCTCCGCTTTAGCTAGAACAATAAATGAGAAAGCGAAAATATTCTTTCTCCCTTCGTTTTTCCTCACAAGAACAATTTCTCGCGCTCTGACGACGACGTGTCGAGTGAAAAACAATGTGCGAATTTGCGAGAGGCAAAGGGAACGACGATTGTTATGATGACTCGTTCCCTCCCCGTGCTCATTTTATATCCGTCTTTCTCGAGATTCGCTTCGAGCGATTCGACTTCCACCCTCCTGACTCTCTCCGCCCTCCTGGCAAAGGACTTCTGGCGGAGGACTCGACTCGTCGGATCTCGCGGGAATTCAACTCGCACGACACGTCTTTGAATCGATCGATCTTCGCTCGCCGCTCATGATGTCACGTTGCAACCGTCCCGGTTGCGACCGAGGAAGAAACGCAATTGGGAAAACCACGCGAGAGATTTACGGGGACACGTGCGCCAGCGAGTTCTGTAATTTTAAAGCCCTGTCCTAAACCGCAAGTAACCTAAAGTACAGTGTACAGTTCTGGTGTGTTTACGACGAGGACGACGAGGCGTCCGCTCCACGGAAGTAATCACGATCATTTGATGAATTACGTTAATGAGGTAAGCTGGTCAAAACGCATGTAAGCGCACTGACTCTCGATAAATCATCGTGAGCGACGTGCGCTACTTAACGTCACAAAATAAAAAAAAAAAAAGGAAGAGAAAAAGTAAAAGAAAGAAAAAGATTTAGAACGCTAAATAGCTTAAACATCCTTGCGATCGATGGTAATACACGAAACGGGGAGGTGGGGGTTAATGACGGAAGTGCGAAATGTTCGCGAGAAACTCGCGAACAAAAGAGGGATATGTTACGGTCAGATCGTATGTTATTCCAGTCTCGTAAATGACAACTAATTGCTATATATCTATAATGGCAAGCTGCATAAATTCAAGTATTGTGCGCGTATAACCCGGCGAAAGAGCCATTCATCATCCGTTCGTTTTATCGCAAAACTTCTTTGAAAGAAAAAAATGGAGGGAAAAATTTGTCAGAGTTCGTTTGAAATTTCGGCTCGGAGATCCTCGGATGTTACAAAATTGATGGGATATTAGCATTTCCAGAATTGGTACAAAGTGCAAAGAATTCTTTTGTAATGCTAGCGCAGATTATTACATACCCTTTACGCTTTTTATTACATGGGTTTAACACATCGGGAAAGGCGCGTTAACGAAAAAAACAAACGAATGCTTCAAATAAGATATAACTTTAACTATTTAACGCGATTTTCATATCGTGTTATTCGTGGATATCTGATAACAGGATTAAAATTATTAAGGGTTATTGATGAAAATCGAATATGGTACGAATAATCGAACAGCGTTAAAGCGACGATATAACTTCACGTTCTTGCAATATTTTGATATAAATTTAATGCAATTGTAATCATTTACTTTCTGACGTAATTGTTTACTGTCCGAGAGCAGCTCTCCTTTCGTAACGGGAAAAGAAAAATAATTCAATCTCCCTGTGTAGCGTGAAGAGAGAAACTTTCGTCTTATGAAATCTGTAGAGATTTCAGTGCCAGAATTGTGTAGTACCTCGCCAAAGAGCAATCGATTTACGAGTCGGTAAAAATGTCGAGACATTCTTCATCGAGTTAATACTGCCGTAGCAATAATAATCCGCCGAAATCACCTACCGAAATCTGACAATGTCGCGACGCACGTAATTCGAAGAGTATTTATTTGATTACGTGCAATTTATTGGAGTAGCTAATATGTTGTAGTACCTTCCTTCCCCTTCCCCTCCCGCGGATTAGTCGCGATCGTCATTAATCACGCTGATTGGAGCGAGACTCAATCTTGCTGTGTGTCCGATTTACCGTATGCGTAAATTGTCGGAAAATTATGATTAATAAATTACACCGTTCGACCGACGTTCGACACAAATATACGATATGCACGCGGTATCAATGTGTGTTATCTCTCAGGATAACGTCGTGGAATTAAGTTTTTAATTAAAATCGTGTTCTTTTCAGGCGCACTAGCTGGTTCGATTAATGAACTTATCGGCGAATCGTATTACGAGATAATCCACTGGAGAGTCGTAAGTTGCTAAAGACATGATCCGAGGTATTAACGATTCCTAGTTTGCAAGTATAGTTTCTCGGTAATAGTTGAAGTTTATTATTACGCACGTCGAATGAAATGTTATTGTCTCGTATTTTCATTAAGTGAGAATAATTTTACGTTTTGCATAATTTTTTAAATAATTTTTTTTTAATTTAAAAAGAGAGAGGGAAAGAAAAAGATTATAATGATAAAAGTAGGAAGAAAGTAGGAGAGTTTAGAAAAATTTATACCATCTATTCGCTTTATATTAAATTTAAAATATACAACAGAATATAGAACGACGAGCGTATTTACATAGAATTAACGAGATTACCGTGCAATGTGTATGTTTTAAGAAATGTGTCGACGCGAACTTTCGATACCATCCGCGCGCGAGCCGGCCTGCCTGATCGATGTGCTCCACGTGGAGTCCATTTCGGAGCGAACTGCACGTACATTGATTTTCAGGCATGAAAATCGGAAGCAAACGGAAGAACAATGGCTACCACGATGAAGATGTATGCACTCGGAAGAAAGAAACTAGGGAAAGCGAGCAGGGAGTAAGAAATCTTACGGACACCTCTCGTTCACGTGCAATCGAATCGAGACGGTTTCCCGGCCGACCTTTTGTTCAAGCGTGGTTTATCAGAGAATACTTTAAAAGATCGATCCGGGTCAGTCCTTTGCCATTTAGAGCAAAGACGGAGTTGAGCCGGTCCTGTATCCAGAAAGCGTATCATTCGTCTGTATCCGGGGATGTATGCCCGACATTTAGCAAGGGTGGCACGTATCCCTGGTCTCCTTGGTAGTACATCGAATTTATCGTTGAGATTATCGGGTACACGAAACCCACAACATGTAAGCTATTTTTCGAGAACCCAAAAAGGAAAACCGCTAAATATCATCCGAATTCATTTGTATCTTTTTTTTTATTTTTTTTATTTATTTAAATGTTGCGCACGTCTTGCAAGATATAAAAAAGAATTTAGGAAATACGTGATCAGAAATTTTATCGAATATAAAATGTATTTATATATTCGTATTTCTGAAATCAGAACGTCGTTTTCTTAACCCGAATAAGCAACAATGCAACTTTGTCGATGAGACTATGTCAACTTGACTTGCAAGAAGAACTTCCCCTTCCTAAGCGCATTAATGTAGATTAGTTGGAAGATTCTGATATCCTTGCAGCTAGGATTGAAAGTCTGTATCTAGATAATCCAACAGAGATGAGGAAGATAAATAAGAAGATAAGTCGAAATGATATGTTTGCAAGCTAGTATATCATTTTTATCGTAATATAATTTAACTTAATGCGAACCTCTTCGTCTCGCTGCTTCCACAAAAATGATAAAAAAATTGTGATATAACATTATTATTGCAGTCATCATAATTCTTGCACGCTTCAAGTTATTTCAGTATCCAATTTATGGATGCCAACCGTGCGATCTATAGAGTCGATGAATTTTAATTATAGCGCCGTTGTTGTTTTCATCATTGCCATTTAATGCGATTTGTTCGCGTAGACGTACACATCTACGATGGAAATTGAACGGCTGGCTTACGATCTCCGTCCCTTGTACTGAATCATTTACATAGGAAGACGGATAGGACGGATCGTTGATCGTGTCAACCATTATTCGTCGTGGCACGTGAAATCGATTATAGGAAGCTGCAATGTTCGTTATCGGCAGATATGCATCATTCAGGAGAATAAAATTTTCAGAAAATGCAGACTCGTTGGCGCTTAGTTGTGTGTCTCGAATAAATGCATTTCAACATCAAAATATTATCACGCGAACTCAAATATTATTTGATCATATCATTTAAATTAGTAATTCTAAAACTACAAAAATTCTTGAAAACGTATTATTTCGTTGGAGACCTGTAATACGCCTTGCAGGCAAACTACTCCGAGGCATGTTACATAATTATTCGTATATTAAAATTTATATACATTTTGTTTATTTTGGATTGTAATACTTTTAAATATGTTTTGTTATATGTATAAAAAATATTTTAAAAAAGTTTAAAAATTTTAATGCTTTATTACGCTATATTTTTTCAATAGTTTTAATCAAATTTTAATCAAACAGAAAAATCGAAAAATATTTAAAGATAACTGAAAAAGACACGAAAGTAAAAATTAAGCTTTTAAGTTGGCAAATGCTGAACTAACAATTTATCTAATTTTGAACGAGTAATTAACATTTTTGTATTGAACAATCATAAAAAAAAGTCAGAAATTTTAAGAATATGACTTATAATGACAAAGAAAGAAGAGTTATCTTGCTTACTTAAAAACCACAAAAAAATTTAACCATTAAAAAAGTTTTGCTACATACATTTCTTTTGTTATTTTTAAATTGTTATTTTATATAATAAAAAAAATATATTAATATTTATTTTTTTAAAAAGACCGATAAATATATTGCAATTACTGCAACTTAAATTATCTTCCACATTTTTTGCTAACATCCAACAAACAAAGTAATTAACCAGCTCGTAACAAGCTGCGCTTGAACAAAAGCAGAAACCGTAATTAGGTGTTGCATATGGCTAACGTTTTTATTGATCTCCATGTATTCATACATAGTTATTGTTGATTACTATAAAATTATTTACTGTCAATTACAAACCTTTTTTTGTATTTATTCAACAAAAGAAAATCTCTTTCAAAATTCATGAAATTTATTACACAAAGGAAATAATTATTTGCTTATCTGTGCGTCTTCTCGCTGATTTGTTATGAATCAAATGTGCCTACGAGTTTATCTGTCAAATCGATTACTTTTGCCACTCACCCCAGCAGAAATCTGGCAGTCCTAATTTTACATAAACGTTGCAATAACGATGACAAAAACTAACTTTTGTGACGTAAAGAGTATAAACCACTCCCGGTTGGTACAGCACGGGCGGCTGGCGACTGACTGCTGCAGAGTTTGAACGCTTGCGATTCTCAGGGCGACCTCTGCAACTTCCACGTGCTTGCAATGGACGCGCACTGGCGCCATCGCAATATATATATATATATAAGATGCTTATAATTTAATAAATTTAACAAACAAGATGACAATTTTTTAATACGATTTCTTCGTGGCCATTCGTCCTATTTAAAAAA